TCAAGGTGGCGAAGCTGCAGGCGCGCATAAGGATCAGGAGCTCGAGGTTCTTCTTCCATCACAAGCGGTCGTCGGACCCCCACTCCCCAGGGCAGGCGAGCATGCAAGGTTGGACTGCTGAGCCATCCTGGGTCCACGATCATCTTGAAAATCTCCGAGGGAGCTGACCAGGACGGCGCGAACTTGCCAATCTTCGTGCGGCGTAGGGCCTTGATTGTCATCTTGAAGTCCGACTGGCCACCACGAAGGTTCTCCTTAGACATGCGCACCGCATCAGGGATGGCGTAGTCCGAGGTGTTTCCCAAGTCCGTGAGCCTGTCGGGCTTCAAGTTGTGGCGGAGAGGGATGTTCGCGCGAACGGCTGCCAAGCCGCCCAGGAGCGGGTCCTGCGCGAGGAAGGTCGACCACTCGTCGCACGTCGGGTTGCACGAGGCGTGTGCTCTGTAGCTTCGGTTCTTCACGCCGATGCCCGTGCGTGCCAGCGAGCGGGCAATCCGAGGAACTTGGGCCATGTCACGACCTCGCCATGCGTGCCGGAGTTCGTCCTCTGTGAACTTCTGGCGCTCGTGAGCTCTGCGGCGTCGCCAATGCTGAAGGGCCTTCGTGTAGCTCCTGATCGCGCTGCCGAGCGTCCGAACCTCGGCGACCCTCTCGCGCGGCAGGACAGGCTCCTCGGCACCACGACGAGGATAAACACCTGAGCCTCCGCTCAGCGTGTTGCGTTCTGGTACGAGTGATTCGACAGATCCAGCGCAAGGTGGGGAGGAGGAAAGACAGTCTGTAGGGCCCGTAGCCGACGGCAAGGTCGCTGGAGAAGAAGGCTTCTCGTGGCAGCGCTGCATGGCCTCAAACTCCTGCGCCTTCACCTCCTCCAGGATGGTACGCCTCTCACGGAGCAGCTGCCACTTCTTCTCGTCCAACTTATTCTCGTACATTGGGCGCACCGTGGCCTGGGAGAAGTGCGCCAGCCCGATCTTGCGAATGGTGCCCATGACCAGCGTGGCGTGGCCAGTAGTCGCCTCCCTCGTCTCCAGCACGTCGGGCGACGGACCAATCTCCAGGAAAGCCTCGTGGAGGTCGGTCAAGAACTGCTCTCGCCCACTACCCGACAAGACTGCTCCTGACAAGCGCGGGCGGCCCCAGCGCTCTCGCAGCGGCAGCTGGTTCAAGGGCGGCACAATCCGAATCTTGGCAACCACGGGGGCGTGATCGAGGATCGCGGGAGACGCTCGCGCAGCCTCGGCCGTACGGTGCCACGCCTTCGCCCACTCCACTAACACTCCAGCACTCTGGGGTACACAGATGTAGTCGATCTGGGAGGACGCTCCGCCCATGCCGAAGAAAGTGTTGCCAACCCGATGCGTGGTGTTGATCGCCTGCATACGTGCCCCCGCTAGCCACTCATGGACCAGCTTGCCAGCATAGCTTTCTGTCGCTGCACCGAACTGGCCGACCACGGGGTCCTCGTCGAAGTGCTGGGTCAGGCCCGAGTTCAGGTCCATGAGCAACACAGGGGTGTACCGCTGAGGCACTCGCAGGAGCTCGTCCCGCGCCCAGGCCACCAGTGCACGGCAGGTGTCGCGCCAGATGGGCGCCTCCCCCTTGGCCGCGGGCCGCGGGGGGAAGTAGAGCACGAACACGGCGAGGAGCAGCGGGCCAGAGGCTAGGTAGGCCAGTCCGCCTCGTCCTCGAAGGCCCACGGGCGGGGTGACCAGCCGTCGGATATCGTTCACTCCGAAGTACTTCTTGGCCAGCATCAGCGCACACCCGCAGCTCTTGTTTACGAGCCTGGAGCGCCGCCACCCGAAATGCACCACGTGGTGGGCCACCGACGTCGCCTTGTGGTGAGGCTCGTTCCACCACTGGCGCACGCACGTGCCTGGGAGGCCAACAATTCCCACGCCAGCCAGAGCCCGCGACACTTCGTCCAAGCGGGCGGGCGACAGCAGGTTCTGTGGGTTCCACACTGAGAGGAACGTGAAGCGTCCCTCGCCTGGGCGCACCCCTCCCAGCAGTAGCAGTGCCTGCAGCCAGAGCACAGGGAGCGCCCGCCTGCCCCTCCGCGCGAGGGGCGGCACTCTGGCAGCCCTCATGCCCCTGCGGGTGCGGCAGCCCCCATCGCGGCCCGCGCTCCTCGTATGAGACTCCGCGGGAAGGGGGGGCCAGCGCAGGGACGGAGCCTGAGGAGGAGGAGGAGGAGGAGGAGGAGGAGGAGGAGGAGGAGGGGGATAGAGGACGAGGAGGAGGCGAGAAAAGGAGGAGGAGAAGGAGGAGGAGAGGGAGGAAAAGGGGGGAGCGAGGAGGAGGAAGGACAGCGGGGCGGAGGAGGGGGGTGGAAGAAGAGGAGGGGGCGGAGGAAGGAAGAGGGAGGGAGAGGAGGGGGGGGGAGGAGGGAGGAAGGAGGAGGAGGAGGACGAGGGCGAGGAGGAGGAGGAGGAGAACACGGCGCCAGTCCCGCGTAAAGCGTGAGGAAGTCTCGGGCGGGAACGCTGGTTTTGTCGGGGCGGGGGCGGTCGGCGGCGAACAAAAGCACCGCTCTGAGTATAAATGAGAGGACGTTTCTGCTGGGGGGTGCGGTGCCGATGAGAGAAAGAGTAGCGCAGGCATTCAAGGTTGAACGCCGCCAGTGGCGCAGAATCGGCCAGTATGGAACGGTTTGGCGATAGAGGAGCCGCCGATCGTTCAAAGGTCAACGATCCAGGCGATGTCAGAAATGTCGCTGAAGTCGTCACGACGCGAACTCGCCGCACAGTCATCCCCTATAGAAAGGGATGGGCGGTTTGCCAAGGTTACCCTTGCATCCTGCCCCATCGGCCAGTCCTTGGCCGCTTCCACTGGCCGCGCCCAGCCCGCGGAGAGTGTCGACATGGCGTTCCAAGGCCCTTGCGCGTCCTCATCGTGCGCCCGATCGAGGTCCATTCGTGGAGGGTGCCCGAATATTCCTCGTGCTCGTTCCACGTTTTCTTGTGCAGCCTGGGGAGGGTACTCCGAGTTTCTGAATAAGCGTCGGGGGGCGTCACCCACGTCGACAGCCCCACATAGACCCCCGTCGCGGGCAGCCACCGCGTGCCGAAGGCGCTCCGAGCCCCGTCGCGGCGCGACGACGAGGCGAGGTTGACCCCCGTTGGGGAGATACCCCCCCCCCCCCACCGCTTATTAAGAAACCAAGGGTACCCTTGGATACGTTCTGTGCGTGTTGGCTGGCGGAGGGTCTCATATTCTTGAAGGATGGTCTCCTGTCCCAGGTCCGACCGTATACGGGTTGATTGCAAGCTTCTGTCGGGCCTGTCCTTCTATAGGAGGAATACTCAGACACAGTCAAAAAATAGTCAGGTGACGATGTTTGGTTTCTTTGCAAAAAATAGTTTTAAAAATGTTTGGGGTACTCTTGATTTGTCGTCCCAAATCCCCCTGTAAGCTGGAGTCGCGGGTCTGGCAAAGGCGGGTCGGCGGCGAGAGGCGTGCAGTCGTCCGTGATCTGTTTACGGGGAGCGTGTTTTGCACGTTCCTGCCGCAGGCGCTCTCCTCCTCGTCCTCCTCCTTTTCCTCCTCCTCCTGCTCCTCCTCCTCCTCTTCCTCCTCTTCCTCCTCCTCCTCCCGTTTGCGAAACTCTTGCAAACGGTACACACGAAAGCGCAGCACACCGCGAACTGCACAGACAATGGCAGCCAGGGAGCGGGCGGGTCCACGCGCTTCGGCTAACAGTACGCAACTATTGCGGGGGGGGGGGGGGGGGGGGGGGGGGGGCGCGAACTGTTGCACGGGCGACAACCGTTGGCCACGAAAGCAAGCTCTACAGCTGCATCCTCCCCAAAATTGGATCTCCACCCCTCCAGACACCTGCTGGAGCGCGATCTGACCAGGACTCCGACGCAAATCCAGCCGCAGCGTCGATGGCCCGCCAGAGCAAAGCAGCAACAACACACACCGAACCAGAGAACTCACATTCCGTCGTCGTCCTCGTGTCCCCCTGTATCATCATACTCGTCATCAGCATCAGCATCAGCATCCTCAGCATCATCACTAGCATTATCAGTGTCATCATCACCATCATCGTTTTCACCATCTTCATCATCAGCATCATCATCATCGTCATCATCATCCTCACCATCACCATCATCATTCTCACCACAATCGTCATCATCGGTATTAACATCATCAGCGGCATCATCATAATCATCATCACCACCATCATCAGCAGCAGTATCGTCATCACTATCACCATCATCATCAGCGGCATCATCAGCAGCATCATAATCATCACCGCAACCATCATCATCAGCAGCACCAGCATCACCACCATCATACTCATCAGCTTCGTCGTTGGCGTCACCACCATCATCATCGTCATCATCAGCATCGTCATCCTCACCACCATCATCCTCATCAGCATCAGCATTGACATTTACCTCATCATCATCGGCATAAGCATCATCATCATCATCATCATCATCGTCATCATCAGCATCAGCATCGTCATCATCATTATTTTCGTCATCAGCAGCAGCAGCATCATCATCAGCAACAGCATCAGCTTCATCATCAGCACCGTCGTCGCCATCATCACCATCATCAGCAGCATCACGATCAGCATCACCATCACCATCAGCATCGTCATCACAATTATAAGCATCATCAGCATCATCATCATCATCATAATCGTCATCATCATCATCATTACCCTCATCATCATCCCTCAGTTGCCCGTATTCATGTTCCTCCTCCTCCGTTTCTTCCTTCTTTGCCTCTGCCTCCGCCTCCGCCTCCTCCCTCCCCCCCCGCCCCCTTCTGGCTCCGCCCGCTCCCCTCCTCCGCCTCCTCGATTCCGCCTCCGCCTCCTCCCTTTCCTTCCTCCCCTCCTTCCTGCCGAAGTCGCCTCCTCCCGCCTCCTCCTCCTCCGCCTCCTCCTGCTTCCTCCGCCGAAGTCTCCTTCCCCTCCTCCGCCTCCGCCTCCCGCGCCCCCTCCTCCCCCTCCCCCCGAAGCCCCCCCCCCCCCCCAGGCCTCGAGGACACTCCCGCCGCGGGCGCCTCCAGCCCCGAGGGCGGGGAGGAGCGCCGCGGCGGCTGCGGCGGCCCGCCCACGCCGTCGGGCGCCGTGGGCGTCGTGTCCAGGCCCCAGGGGGGGGGGGCGGGGATGGGGGACGGGGGGACGAGGGGGCGGAGGAGGAGAGGAGGCGGAGGGAGGAGGAGGGAGGGCGAGGGAGGAGGGGGGAGGAGGAGGAGGGAGGGGGGAGGGGAAGGGGAGGAGAGGGGAGGGGAGGACGAGGCGGAGGGAGGAGGAGGAGAAGGAGGAGAGGAGAGGCCAGCACGACCACCACGAGCACCAGCATCACCAGAAGACTGACCGCCGGCACGACCACCACGACCACCACCAGCACGAGTGACCCCCAGCTCCACAACTACTAGCCACCACGCCCACCACCAATACGACCACCTCGACCACCACCAGTGCGACCACGACGACCACGACGACCCCCCCCAGCACGACCACAGCGACCACCCCGACGACCGCCGCCGCCCCCCGTCCCCCTCTCCCTTCCCCCTCCCTCCCCCTCCCCTGCCGGGCCGCCCCTGCTGCTACGCTTTTTGCGCGCCTGTCCCCTCCTTCCTCCTCCTCCTGCTGCTGCCTTCCTCTCCCCTTTCTCCCGGTTGTATGTGCTCGTGCGCAGGCCGGGCTCCAGATGGAGGCCGGCCATTGTGTACAGGTGCAGGACGTCGGGGACCATTGCTCAGGGCAGCCCCCTGAGAGCTGGCGGGGGCGCCAGACCCGCGGCCAGCGGGGGGAGGAGAGGAGAGGAGGGGGAGGGGGAGGGGAACGGGGGAGGAGGGGAGGGGGAGGAGGGGGAGGGGGAACGCAGGATGGGGAGGTTGGGGGAGGGCAGGAGGGAGGAGGAGGACGAAGAGGAGGAGGAGGAGGACCAGTGCAAACGCAAGACTCATTAAACTGGGGGAAAAACCCTCCCCACAAGCTCCCTCTTCACAGGTCCCTGCAAGAGTTCATTTCCACTGAAGGAGCTGCTTCGTTGGGAGACAGCCGTTTGAAGACCATGAAGCGTGCCAAAAAACAGTATTTGGACTCCAGCGCCACGAATCAATTTGACTGTTGCATCTTCACGATCTTGAATCTTGCTAGAGCACCATTCCTTGAATTCCAACACGACGAATCAACGTAACTCCTTGCGCCTTCACAGTCCGGAGTCCGTCCAACAACACAATGTCTGGTACATTGACCACGGGGACCGTGAAATTGCACAAATGTTTGAGACGAGTATGCGCGGCGCTAGGGCGAAAGCCCAATGTTGTCAATGAACCGGTCTTAACCAGTGAAACTTCTGTATTGTTTAGCAAGTGTGCGCGGCGCTAAGGCGAGAGACACATGTTGAAAAGGAACCGCCCCCATTACATAAAACTCGTGTTATGTTGTAAAACAAATGTGCGCGGCGCTGAGGCACAAGACACATTTTCAAAGCCACCCGCCCTCAATCCGTGAAACTACTGCAGATGTTTAAGGCGAATGTGCGCGGCGCTAAGGCGAGAGCCACATTTTGAAAACCACCCGCCTTCAATCCGTGAAACTCTTGTAAAATTGTTCGAATAATGTTTGCGGCGCTAACGCGAGAGCCACATGCTGAGAACCACCCGCCCTCAATCCGTGAACCAGTTGCCACATTCTAAGTTTCAGGCTCATGAGTGGTGAGGATGTCTCAGGCGACGCGCCAGGCCCGCCGTTTCGACTGGCCTCGGGGTGCGACAGGGAGGAGTTATCTAGAAGGGGAAGGACTGAAGGAGAAGGAGGAGGGCGAGGAGGAGGAGGAGGACGAAGGGGAGGAGGAGGAGGAGGACGAGGAGGACGAGGAAGACGAGGACGAGGAGGACGAGGGGGAGGAGGACGAGGAGGAGGACGAGGACGAGGAGGAGGAGATGGAGGAGGAGGAGGAGGAGGAGGAGGAGAAAGGGAGCAGGGGAAGAGGAGGAGGAGGACGAGGAGGAGGAGGAGGAGGAGGAGGAGGAGAGGCGGGCCCCTACTCAAGGAAAGGCGTGCCGAGGTGGGCCTCAGCTCCCCCCCAGGGGGCCGGGGGCCCGCGTTCGGGCCACTTTCGCGCCCGCACTGCGCCGGCGCGCACAGGCGCCACCAGCCTCCCCCCCCCCTTCCTCTCCCTGGAGAGCTTCTCCGAAGGTCTTAGGCGGCCCCTCCTCCTCCTCTTCCTCCTCCTCCTCCTACCTCCTCCTCCTCCTCCTCCTCCTCCTCCTCCTCCTCCTCCTCCTCCTCCTCGTCCTCCTCCTGACGTTTTTGACGTTTCGGCCAACGTGAACAATGTTCGCAGGCGGCAATCGAATTAGCATCGAATTTCGTCGAACGAAGCGAAACGACGGCAGCGGCGGCAGCACGGAGCCTCTTTGTAGAGGATCCTGGGGCCGCCGCGGGTGCGGCGCCTGACCTGCCTTCTCTGGCGGGCGCGCGCAAGAGAGGTCGGATGACGGGCGGCTTCGTTACCCCGATACCCACCCATGCAAAAACCTACCCCAACCCAAAACCCGAACGCCAGCCTCATCCGTGATACTCTCTGGCAAAATCCCCCCAGGAGTGCGCAACATTGCATGCGTCCAGGGGGGGAAAAACCTAACTACATGTTCCTCGATATCCTGAGGCCCTCTGTGTGGATCCACAAGAGTCCCTGCGTACACACACAAAACTGATGCACGTGTGAAGCAATGAAAGCACACAGCCTGTCTGGATACTGCTCTGCAGAAACAATATTGGACGTGCTAACTTGGGCCCGTCTACTCGACACTCCGTGGCTGCCTGCTGGGTGCGAGCATCTGCCGTGCCTTGGGAATTGCCGCAGTTGACTACCCAAGGACGGCATATTCACAACCAAAAGACACGTTGGCTTCACATACCCAGCTCCAAACTCACACTGATCCACCCGGACGAGCTCTGTCTCTACGCCTGGGTGCTGCAGTCTAATCAAGTGTGACGTCTCCTCCAAGTGCGAGGAGGATGGAAGGAACTGATCAGTCGGCGGTGCAGGATGCTCGATCACTGCTGCCATGCCACCTATGCAAACAAAACAGGATAGAGGCTCGATGCAGGTCATTCGCGAATTCCAGCTGGGCCCATTATTTTCCTTTAAGCTGTGGTATACCCCACGGCGAGGAATTTGAGCGCAGCTGCCGCGGCCCCCGGTCTCCGTCATTTAAACGATTGGCTCGGGCTGACCTCCAAGTCTCGTATGGGGGGCTTGCGATCACAGCTATCGCTCTGCCAGCGTAGCAGAGGTCTACTAACCTATCGATAGCAGCGGCATTCCTCAAATCCCCCAAAACCCCGTCGTCCACGACGTTGACCGACAACATCCATACCGCTGCCTTCAAATGCTCGATGCATCTTTCGAAGTGGATCTGCAAATCCCCTTGGCTTCGTTGGCCGCTGAAGAGATGCAATCCGCACTTGGTGTTGCTGCTTGAAACAGGCAGGGGGATCGGCGCAACGCCAAAAAACTGCACAGCTTGCAATGAGACTGGCTCTGGACACTGCTCTGGCACTGCGCGTTGGGCAACCATCTCGGGCGAGGGAGGAGGGAGCGCTGACCCGTAGACTGGGTAAATTGGCACCTCAGCTTTGGCAGCGTAGAGGCCTTTAGCCTTGAGACGCTGAGTCTCGGCTTGCTCCTCCAAACACCTCTTTCCCTCTCGTCGGCTTCCATCGGTGGAGCGTGAGAAACCCAGCCCGCCAGACCGTCTGCTTGGTACTTTAGAGACCTAGGGGCAAACATTGCGAACGCCCCCGCGCGGTCGTCGCGGCTGGGCGCGCTTGTTGCTTTCCTCGTCGCCGCGGCTAGGGTTCGGGTCTGGTGTCCTCGTCGCCGCGGCTGGCGTTTTCTTCTGGCGATTTCTTGCCACCACGGCTGGGTCGTGATTGCCCCGCCCTTCCCACAAAGTGGGTCGAGGACGCCGCGGGGTAGGTTTTTCCCCAGCCTCCGCCGCCCAACGTGGGAAATGCGGGTTTTCTTGCGCCTGCGTTGACGCTTCGAGTCGCCCGTAGTCGGTTCCAACTCCAACTCCTTCTCCTTCTTCTCCTACACTTCCTCCTCCTCCTCCTCCTCCTCCTCCTTCTCCTCCTCTCCACCCCTTCCCCCTTTTCCTAATCCCCTCCTCCCCCTCCTCCTCCTCCTCCTCCTCCTGCTCCTCCTCCTCCTGCTCCTCCTCCTCCTCCTCCTCCCGTTCCTCCTTCATTATTAATCGCTTCGCTCATTCCGCCGGCCCATACAGTCCCATGTCTGCCGTTTGCCCGAGGGCCTGGTGTCAATGCGGCGCTTTGGGGGTTCATGGGGCCGCTTGGGGGACTCCTGGGGCGCTCGGGGGACATTTGGGGGGCCTCCTGGGGCCGCTTGGGGGACTCTTGGGGGCCTCCTGAGGGCCTCGTGGGGGCCTCTTGGGGCCTCATAGGGGCCTCCTGGGGCCTTGTAGGGGCTTTTTAGGGCCGAGGGCTCGAAATGTTGTTTCGTGTTCCCTCTCTGGGGCCCCTTTGGGGGCGTTCTTGGGGCCCTCTTGGACCGTCTTGGAGGCTTCTTGGGCCGTCTTCGAGCCCTCTTGGGCCATCTTGGGGCCCTCTTGGGGGCCTCTTGGGCCCTCTTGGGGCGAGCTTGGGGGCCTCTTGGGCCGTCTTGGGGCGTCGGGAAGCCGAAAAGGTGGAAGCTCCAAAATCTTTCAAAAACCTAAGGAAAAACAATGAATTTTGCCTCCGGGGGCCCTCTTGGGAGTGCTCTTGGAGGCCTCTTGGGGCGTCTGGGGGCTATCTTGGGCGTCTTGGAGCGATCTTGTGGCATGTCGGACCCCTCGTGTACCATCTTGGGGGCCTCTTGGGGGCCTCTTGGCCTTTCTTGGGGCTCTCGGGGACGTCTCGGAGCCCTGTTGGTGCGCTCGTGGAGCGCTCCTGGAGCGCTCTGGGGGAGTCTCCCGGGGATCACCCGGGGGTCGGTCGGGATATTTTTCGTCCGGGGACCCCCAGGGGCCGCCCCGCGCGCGCGAACTAGAGAATTGTTAACCAGTTACCGGAGATCTTAGCACGCCTCTGGCCCGTTGGGCCGGCGAATTCTCCCTCTGGGTAACTCCT